GCAGCCTTTCTCATGGCTCCTCGCCCCACCAGGTTTTGGCGACGACTTGAATTGCATCTTTAATGATGACAATGCAGAGAAGCTGGTGCTTCGTATTCGCATCATGAACAGCGATGAGAACAAGATGCAAGAGGTAACAGGCCCAAGAAGAAGTCAATGTGTCACATGTGTAAAACTCTTAAATCATGTTAGGGACCAAAGAAATGAAGATGCACTCAACATTGAGGGGCCAGTTGTACCCACCTAACTTAGGGTTGGGGAATGATGATTAGCAACGATCTTCAAAATCCACAGCAGTGGCCAAGTAGATAAAACAGATAGTGTTAAAATAGGAGTGCCTCCCTCTTGCCCTGTCACTTGGCTCTGTTCCCCCGAGGCTCCTGCCACTTGCTTTCCTTCGGCAATACAAACCCCATTCCTGAGGCAGGGGTCAAACTTGGGGGTAGGTTGGGCAGTAGGATGCTGTGTCCTAGGGGAAGTTGTGTGACATGTACAAGACCCCTGAAAAGGCTGGACCAGTGACCACTCCTGGGCATGGCTCCTAAGATACTTGCTTATAGCACATGTTGGTGCCTGGTGCTTCAGTAATAAAAACTGAAAAATTCAGGCTGGGCACGTGGCTCCCACCTGTAATCCCAGCACTTCGGGAGGCCAAGGCAGGCAAATCACTTGAGGTCGGGAGTTCGAGACCAGCCTGACCAACATGGAGAAACTCCATCTCTACTAAAAATACAGAATTAGCTGGGGATGGTCGTGGATTCCTGTAATCCTAGATACTCTGGAGGCCAAGGCAGGAGAATCTCTTGAACTTGGGAGGTGGGAGTTGTGGTAAGCCAAGATTGTACCTTTGCACACCAGCCTGGGCAACAAGAGTGAAACTCCGTCTCAAAACGAACAAACAAAAACTGAAGAACTCACTGACTACTGAACTGCTGTCAGAGAATAGTTATAAAAGCATTGATAGGTCTTGATGGAATACAGTATATGACTTTTTTTTTTTTTTTTTTTTTTTTTTTTTAAATACAGGGTTTCACCATGTTGGCCAGGCTGGTCTTGAACTCCTGACCTCAGGTGATCCGCCTGCCTCGGCCTCCCAAAGTGCTGAGATCACAGGCATGAGCCACCACACCCGGCCCAGTATATGACTGTTAAGTGATGACTGTCATGACAGCAGCAGCCTAGGTGAACACGTGGTGAGGTGCTGGAGCAAGGCATGCTATGTGCTTGGGCACAGCCACTGGGGACACGACATGTACATGGAACCAGCTGCTTGCTAGGCAATACTGCACCAGAGTGGATGTGTTAGGGTGGTGGGATTTGGGTGCCTTTCCTTAGGCTTCTTTTAATGTTGTAAAATCGGCAAGTCTCACTGGAGAACTGCTGGAACTGAGCTGAGATCGTGCCGTTACACTCCAGCCTGGGCTGACAGCAGCGAGACTCTTGTCTCAAAAAAAAAAAAGTCTCACTGGAACTGTGAGGGGCAGAGCCTGGTGGCTGACTCTTAGGCCCACAGGGAGGCTGTAGTTTGAGAGCTGGGGAGGAGACCAGAGGAGGTTACAGTTTTAGGTGAGGACCGGTGAGGAGACCAGGACCTCACTCTTGCTGCAGGAGGAAGAGGTGGTAGACAAGATGGATGATGACGTCTTCCTGCGTTGCATCGAGTCCAACATGCTGACAGATATGACCCTGCAGGGCATTGAGCAGATCAGCAAGGTCAGCAGCTCCCTCCGTCCCCGCCTTCCCTCCGCCCACTTCCCCACCTCACCGCCCTACACACTTTGAGCACGCTGTCTTCTCCATAGGTATACATGCACTTGCCACAGACAGACAACAAGAAGAAGATCATCATCACGGAGGACGGGGAGTTCAAGGCCCTGCAGGAGTGGATCCTGGAGACGGACGGCGTGAGCTTGATGCGGGTGCTGAGTGAGAAGGATGTGGACCCTGTGCGCACCACGTCCAATGACATCGTGGAGATCTTCACGGTGAGCTCCAAATGTGCTTCCCAGAGGCCTTCTGTGCATCTCTGGCTCTTAGGCTCCTCATTCTGTGCTCCCCACTCACAGGATTTCCTCAGGCTCAGAATTTTTCTGCCTGAATCCATTCTGAGTGGGATATCCTGGCTTCTGACACCCTCCCTAGATCTGGGTGACGGCAGGAGCAGGGATGAGAGCAGAGTTGCTGGGCTCTGACTTTCCTTTTCTCATCCCTCCCCTGTGCCAGGTGCTGGGCATTGAAGCCGTGCGGAAGGCCCTGGAGCGGGAGCTGTACCATGTCATCTCCTTCGATGGCTCTTATGTCAATTACCGACACTTGGCTTTGTTGTGTGATACCATGACCTGTCGCGGTCACTTGATGGCCATCACCCGACACGGAGTCAACCGCCAGGACACAGGACCACTCATGAAGTGTTCCTTTGAGGAAACGGTAACAGTGTAACTTCTGAATAGGGCAGAAGGAGGGAACAGTGTGGGAAGAAAGGTGCCCACCTTGGACGGCTGGTCTGTGGCAGTGGGACAGCCAGGTGCTGTGTGTGGAGAGGTCTGATGGGGCCTGTCCGCTATGTTTAGGTGGACGTGCTTATGGAAGCAGCCGCACACGGCGAGAGCGACCCCATGAAGGGGGTTTCTGAGAATATCATGCTGGGCCAGCTGGCTCCGGCCGGCACTGGCTGCTTTGACCTCTTGCTTGATGCAGAGAAGTGCAAGTATGGCATGGAGATCCCCACCAATATCCCCGGCCTGGGGGCTGCTGGACGTGAGTATGAAGGGCCCCAGCTGCCCAGGACCTGGCTGGGTCAGCAAGGTGGTGGGGCAGGCCGTGGGTGGGAAGGTGTCACCAGTCCCTGCTGTTCTTGCTCCTCATGAGTTCCTGTGTGCCTCTTTGCAGCCACCGGCATGTTCTTTGGGTCAGCACCCAGTCCCATGGGTGGAATCTCTCCTGCCATGACGCCTTGGAACCAGGGTGCAACCCCTGCCTACGGCGCCTGGTCCCCCAGTGTTGGTGAGTAACCTGGTCCAGGAAGAGGGCTCTCCAGGTGGTTCAGAGGTGGGTGAGCTGAGATCGTGAACAGTAGCCGTTGTTGGAACTCAAGGCCAAAGAGGGCGAGTGGAAGGTGCAGCAGGGAGAGTTGGGGTCATCTGTGTTCTAGTTCTGTCCTTAACCTGTTTCTCTTACTCTGTAGGGAGTGGCATGACTCCAGGGGCAGCTGGCTTCTCTCCCAGTGCTGCATCTGATGCCAGCGGCTTCAGCCCGGGTTACTCCCCTGCCTGGTCTCCCACACCAGGCTCCCCAGGCTCCCCAGGTCCCTCAAGCCCCTACATCCCTTCACCAGGTGAGTTCTCGCCGTCTGTCAGGCCAGGTTTGTTTCCTCCTCAGTTCTGGGTGAGTCTTCCCATCGCTCATCTCCTTTGTTGGCTTCTTCCCCACAGGTGGTGCCATGTCTCCCAGCTACTCACCGACGTCACCTGCCTATGAGCCCCGCTCTCCTGGGGGCTACACACCCCAGAGTCCCTCTTACTCCCCCACTTCCCCCTCCTACTCCCCCACCTCTCCATCCTATTCTCCAACCAGTCCCAACTATAGCCCCACATCACCCAGCTACTCCCCAACATCACCTAGCTACTCACCAACCTCTCCCAGCTATTCGCCCACCTCTCCCAGCTACTCACCCACCTCTCCCAGCTATTCACCCACCTCTCCCAGCTACTCACCCACCTCCCCTAGCTACTCGCCCACCTCTCCCAGCTACTCACCCACCTCTCCCAGCTACTCGCCGACATCTCCCAGCTACTCACCAACTTCCCCCAGCTATTCTCCCACTTCCCCCAGCTACTCACCAACCTCTCCAAGCTATTCACCTACCTCTCCCAGCTACTCACCCACTTCTCCAAGTTACTCACCCACCAGCCCGAACTATTCTCCAACCAGTCCCAATTATACCCCAACATCACCCAGCTACAGCCCAACATCACCCAGCTATTCACCTACCAGTCCCAACTACACACCTACCAGCCCTAACTACAGCCCAACCTCTCCAAGCTACTCTCCAACGTCACCCAGCTACTCCCCAACCTCACCAAGTTATTCCCCTTCCAGCCCACGATACACACCACAGTCTCCAACCTATACCCCAAGCTCGCCCAGCTACAGCCCCAGCTCGCCCAGCTACAGCCCAACCTCACCCAAGTACACCCCAACCAGTCCTTCCTACAGTCCCAGCTCCCCAGAATATACCCCAACTTCTCCCAAGTACTCACCTACCAGTCCCAAATACTCACCCACCTCTCCCAAGTACTCACCTACCAGCCCCACCTATTCACCCACTACCCCGAAATACTCCCCAACTTCCCCTACTTACTCCCCAACCTCTCCAGTCTACACCCCGACTTCCCCCAAGTACTCACCTACTAGCCCCACTTACTCGCCCACTTCCCCCAAGTATTCACCGACCAGCCCCACCTACTCGCCCACCTCCCCGAAAGGCTCTACCTACTCTCCTACTTCCCCTGGCTACTCACCCACCAGTCCCACCTACAGCCTCACCAGCCCGGCCATCAGTCCGGATGACAGTGACGAGGAGAACTGAGGGTGCCTGGAGCGCAGCAGCGGGCTAGGGCCCAGGGCAGTCTGCCCAGGCTGTGCAGTTCTTGCTTCCCTTTTGGGGTGTCGTCCCCAGTCCAGCCCCTTGTACATAACACCTTGTGGCAGACCTCCCAGTGAACTGGATCCCGTGTCTGATGCGGCCTCTTGTCTTGTTCTCCACTCGTGCTGTCAGAACCCCCTGGCCCGGTGGTGGTCTCGTTCCCACCCCACCCACCCCCTGCCTGTCCTCAAATTGAAGATCCTTGCCTGTGGCTTGATAGGGGGGCGGTAAAGGGTATTTTAACTTAGGGGTAGTTCCTGCTCTTCTGAGTGGTTACAGCTGATCCTCGGGAAGAACAAAGCTAAAGCTGCCTTTTGTCTGTTATTTTATTTTTTTGAAGTTTAAATAAAGTTTACTAATTTTGACCAAAACTATGTACGTTGAGTGCTTCTTTGGGGTTCAGGGTACCTGCAGGCCCCTGCTTCCTGCCTGGGCTACTGATCTGTTAAGGGGAGGGGACCAGGAAAGTGGGAGGTGACCTTACAGTCACAACCCACACACAACCCCTGCTCTGTGCCGGGCACTGCTCTACTGAGTTTGTTGTCACAACAGATGCAGCTCTTGTCTTGCATTAAGATAATATTGACCATAACAGCCTTTTAACTTGTTTTATTGATTGTCATAAATAATTTGGAAAACGATAGAAAGATATAATGCAGGCCGGGTGAGGTGCCTCATGCCTATAATCCCTGTGCTTTGGGAGAGGGGGGCGGATCACAAGGTCAGGAGTTTGAGACCAGCCTGACGAACACAGTGTAATCCTGTGTCTACTAAAAATAACAAAAATTAGCTGGGTGTGGTGTCACGTGCCTGAAATCCCAGCTACTCGGGAGGCTGAGGCAGGAGAATCGCTTGAACCCAGGAGGCAGAAGTTGCAGTGAGTCGAGATCATCCCATTGGATTCCAGCCTGGGCAACAGAGCAAGACTCCATCTCAAAAAAGAAAATGTAACCCAGAGGCAGAGAAATGATCACTCTTAATCCCACCACTAGGAGGCATACTTTCTTTTGGTATTTTTTTTCCTACACTTTGCTTGAGTCATTAACAAATGAACAAAAATGTATTTTCATCTTGGCCTCAAACCAAAAGTGAAGATACAGATGCTGTAATAAGAAGCTGAAGTAGGTCTTGAGGGTAATATGCTGGTTTTAGTTGGCCATTTCCCCCCTTTCGTTAGCACCTTATTGTAGGTATCAATGTTCTGTATCCTCTGCAAGTTATTTCTAGTTTATGTATTTTATTTAGCTTTATTTTTTTGAGATGGAGTCTCCCTCTGTCGCCCAGGCTGGAGAACAGTGGTGCAATCTCAGCTCACTGCAACCTCCGTCTCCTGGGTTCAAGCGATTCTTCCTGCCTCAGCCTCCCAAGTAGCTGGGATTACAGGCACCTGCCACCACACCCAGCTACATTTTGTATTTTTATTGGAGATGGGTTTTACTGTGTTGGCCAGGCTGGTCTTGAGCTCCTGCCTTCAGGTGATCCACCTGCCTCGGCCTTCCAAAGTGCTGGGATTACAGGCATGAGCCACTGCACCCAGCCAACTTAGGTATTTCATTATTTTTTAGTTTGAAATATTCAAAAGAATAAAAAATGATATAGACAACACCTATTATCACAAATTATAGATGACAGTTAACAGTCTGCCATATTTAATCCAGTTTTTTTTTGGGGGGGGGACAGAGTCTTGCTTTGTCACCAGGCTGGAGTGCAGTGGCACGATCTTGGCTCACTGCAACCTCCATCTCCTGGGTTCAAGCAATTCCCCTACCTCAGCCTCCTGAGTAGCTGAGACTAAAGGCATGTGCCACCACTCCCAGCTAATGTTTAGCAGAGGCGGGGTTTCACCATGTGGTCTCATCTCCTGACCTCGTGATTCACCCGCCTCGGCCTCCCAAAGTGCTGGGATTACAGGCGTGAGCCCCTGAGCCTGGCCATTTAATCCAGATTTTAAATTGTTTGAAAGAAGTGACTTTTGTTTTTATTAAAAGGATAGGTTGTTATTATTTTTAAAATAAGCACTATGGAAAGACAATATATCTCATACCTACAAACTAGTGTTGGGGCTGGGCGTGGTGGCTCATGCCTATAATCCCAGCACCTGGGAAGCCAATGTGGGTGGATTGCTTGAGCTCAGGAGATTGAGACCAACCTGGGCAACGTGGCAAAAACCCAACTCTAAAAAAAATACAAAAATTAAGCGTAGTGGCATGCACCTGTGGTCCCAGCTACTTGGGAGGCTGAGGTGAGAGGAAAACGTGAGCCCAGGAGGCAGAGGTTGCAGTAAGCCCTGATTGTGCCATTGCACTACAGCCTTGGTGAGTGAGACCCTGTAAAACAAAAACAAAAACAAACAAACAAAAAAAACTATGCCTGGTGCAGTGGCTTATGCCTGTAATCCCAGCACTTTGGGAGGCCAATCACAAGGTCAAGAGTTCAAGACCAGCCTGGCCAAGATGGTGAAACCCTGTCTGTACTAAAACTACAAAAATTAGCTAGTCGAGGTGGCAGGTGCCTGTAATCCCAGCTACTCAGGAGGCTGAGGCAGGAGAATCGCATGAACTCAGGTGGCAGAGGTTGCAGTGGGCCGAGATCGCACCACTGCACTCCAACCTCGGTGACAGAGTGAGACGCCATCTCAAAAAAGAAAGAAACTAGTGTTGGCAGTTGGTGAACATAATTCCAGAAATTAAAAAAAAATTTTACGTCTTTTTCTTTAAATTGTATAATTCTTTTTTTTGTTATTATATAACAAACCTGCACACGCATGTACCAGAAATTTTTATTGGCACATATTTGAGGGGATAGATAGAAAATAACAAAAAACTAATTCTTTTTTTTTGTTTGTTTTTTGTGTTTTTTTTGTTTGTTTTTTTTTTTTTTT